AAACTTGTTTTGTCCTGATTTTATACTTTGTGTGAAAAATATGTTGATTTTTTGAGAAAAAAATAATTGATATTATCAAGACTGAAACTTTACAAAAATAGATGAGGATTATTTGTATGAAGAACAATGTTTCTTGATTTCATTAGTATGCGTTTCTTCCAGTGTATGTAATAAGAAAGAATCCAACTTTCTTCAAATCCTGTTGCATTTGTTGGTGTTGTTTTGCTGTTGCTATGGCATTACCTTAGATATATCAGTAGAATGGATATTTGTCTTTTATAAACAGACTTGGCTACATCACAGAACAACCCCAAGTATTGAATCTGCTAGTCTAGAGTCTAAACTGTATATTTCAAGCTACCAAAAAGAAAGAAGTATTGAAATGAGTCAATCTTTCAGTAAATACTATTTCTTTCATACTACTCTGTTTGAATAATACTTTTCAACACCACGGAACCAGATTTATGCACATAAGAAGAATTCGTGATGTATTATGCTATTTTTTTTCCTAAAACGCTCCTTGGAATAAAAACTCATTCTTATTTATTTATTTATTTATTTAGTGAAGAAAAACTCAGAATTTCCATATTTCTCCACTGGACTCAGCAACTAGAAGCAGAAACTCTATGACCTATAACCTTCCCAAATTATTTATAGTTAGTTATTGTTGTTATTTTACATTGCACAGCTATTGAGGGGTGGGGAATGAAGGAAACAGCAGGGATAAATCTGTGAGCAGAGGCAGGTGTCCAAGATTGCTTTTTTTTCCATAAAAATGACCCTTGGCTGTTCTGGTACTGCAAATCCTATGGTCTCTGCAGAGTACTCCACCCAGCACAGTAGAACATCCCTGTTCAGAACAGCCCTTGAAAGTCAGCACACTTTCTGAAGGTTTGGTCAGGAGGATATTGATTTGTTGTGCCACTTGCTGGATAAGAGCACTAAACACCAGGGAACTATGGAATTTGGTGGACTTTTGGTGGACTGATAACATGTTTTAATACAAACATATTGGCCTACTTGAACAAAATTGCATTGTAATTCTCTTCCCTCAAGGGACCATTTCACAGCAAGTTGACACATCTTCATGAGTCTGATTCCAATCCTGCTAACCAGGCACTGCTGAAAGTAACCCTGAAGGTACTTTGTCTCAAATCCACAGGGGCCCTTGTTTGATTCATATTAAAAATTATCAGTTTGAAATGACAATAGGATGCTTGAATCCCCGAATGAATCTGGGACCCCAGCCCCTTTAGTAGGTCTCAACCTAAGCAATGAAACATGACAGCTGAAATATTTCGGATTTTAGACCAAAATTACTAATTGAATTCATTTAGTAAGTATATTAATCAATTGTGATTTTAATTGAAGTGCAAATTCTGTGGCAAAAATGTCATCTATTGGGGGAACACAGATACGTGCTAAATACTGTCGCTGTGCTAATGGCATTTTCAGCAGCTTTCAATTGTTTTTATACTGTCAGAAATTGTTTTCTCAGTATTCAGTGATTATTTTTAAAAAGAAGAGCACCTGTGTATCCATATAGGACTCCAACTTCTTGTTTTTTCATTCTGTATATTAAAGGAGACATCTTTCAGCATGTCTTCTACAGTCAGGAAGAAGGCAGGACTAATTCTTCAACAGAGAGAAAGAATTGGCAAATAACAGCCATGTCAGCAGATTCAAGTCCTGACTTTCCAGGCTTTTACAACAGCTTAAACCAATATATCCATTTCATTCATGCTTTTTCCTGAAGGTTCAGGAGGTGAGAGGCAACCTTTGCTATGTATAAACAGTTATCTACAGCATATTTGACAAAGCAATTTTATTGTCTTAAAATGGCTTTGCTTCTACCACCCACAGTGTAGAAATACAGCAGTGCAGCTTGTAAACCAGCTTCCATCCTGTTCTAATGATAGTTTAACAACCAGAAGAACTATAATGTTTAAATATAGAATGATTTCTGTTTACACATTTAACTATCCCCAGCATTACATGGACTTCGGCAGTTTACATAATAACCTCAGAACAATAGATTTGAGCAGTCTGCTCTGGGTGAAATGATACAGCCATCCTGTGAAGGATTAGAAGTTGTAGCATTTTTGTTGATTTTTTAAATCATAGCTAATCCTGTCTTTGATATGCACTGCCTGTGTTGGCAGCCTCTCCTTGCTGACAGCATCTAGATTCAGCTCAGGAGTTCCGGCTTAAATTTGCCACTCCAGTCAGACTTATAGGCACCAGACACTATGGTGATTTCTGTTTGTAAATAAAACAAAGGCAGGCCTGTGGAGCAACGGGGTATTTAAATAAGAAATATTAGAGCGGGTCATGAATCTGAAATCTTCTCCTAGTCTCTTGTACATTTAAGTACTAACGCTCCTATATGATCCAAGTCCAGGGAGACTGGAATCGCCTCTGGCCCTTCAACACCCTTCCTGGTGTGGCTTCCAAGGTGGCTGCTTAATATCACTCACATTTGGCTAATACATAGCAACTTTCCTTGAAATTATCTTTTTTTTCCCTTTTCTTTTTCACATAAAACTCAACCACTGAGATTTGAATCAGTTCTTCTAAAATTCAAAGCAGAACTTGGGATTTAGTTTGACAGTATTGAGCTAGATCAATGAACAAATAGATCCAATACTAATTTTGTCATGTAAAATTGTTTCCAGCTATATAAATAAGTATAGTACAAAAAAGTTCTATATAGATACCTTCATAGAACTATTTTGTACTGTATTTATTTGTAGCACTGACTGGATGAATGACATTAACCAGTGTCCGCACCATGCAGTTGTTTTTATTTTTTCTTCCCATACTTCATAATAATGCACAGATGTATTCAAAAGTACAACCAGGCATTGCTAGGCTTTGATTAACAATAAATAAATAAATAAATGAATGAATGAATGAATGAATGAATGAATGAATGATGAAAAATAAAGATATATATATTGTTTTCTTAGTTTTGAGAAAAATGATATTGCAGGAGTCAATCTGTTCTGATTTCTTTGCAGAAGTAAGAACTGCTGCGTTTGAAATTTGGTCCAAGGTCACATGAAGCACAGCCAAGTCTCACAGCCTGAAAGGTCATAAGGAAGGCAGTGAATGCAGCCTGTTCAACAGAGACCTCGGGACTTCTGGTTATCATTCCTGCCTGAACTAAGGCTTTGACTTCTTTTTTGATTCAGATCCCAATGACTACACCAGAAGTAAAATGAGGCAAAGCACTCTGGGAGTTGGCTCTACTGTTTTTAGCTGATATTTCTAACTCTTTGCAATTTTTCCTTGCACTAACAGGGACACATAGGGTACAGGTTGAAAACTGCAATACGAAGTGGCAATACTAAGTGGAAAGTACACAACAGAACATGAAGCCATTGTGAGGTAGAGAATCTGCTTTAGTTTTACAATTATGAAAGCTAAAATACGGACGAAAATTCTTGACATCACATTTTATAAGAACTGCTTCAAAGAGATTTAAAAGAAAAAATATGGTTTTTGATGTTTTTTTTTTTTTTAATTTGCTAAATATATATTTTTCTTACCATTGCCAAAGAAAGATCAATGTACTTTCACCGCTATGAAATCTAAGGCAACAGAACTTTATTTGGAAACTACTGAATCCTTCAGATTTTGAGGATTGTTCAGGAACTTTTCTGTTACTACATAGCATGTATAAAATGTATTTAGCCACTATTTGCTTTTGGTTGATATCAGCACATATATTTTCCAGCACTAAACATGGTTGCTAAATAGTGAGGGAAGGAAGAACACTATGATCTAGTGTGAGCATTTCTCTATTTCATAACCTGAAGTATATGTTTGTAATGGAACTCTGCTAACAGGCAACCAAAACACCATTAGCCACTTCTTTTTCCCCACTCTTGCTAGTGTTTTCAAGGATAGTGTGAGAGATGCTGCTGCTATAGAAAGAAAAGTCAGAAATAATAATTTAAAAAAAAATAGAAAAAATAAATATTTTAAAAATTCGATCAGAAAATGCAGAACTAGTTTGCCATCTCTGTATGCCCTGAAAACTTACTATCACAGGTCAAAGGTGAAGACATCTTAAATTCTGATTTTTAAAAGTGGTGACAATTCAGTATCTCTATGTTTATCACTCATACATCTGGTTTGTATCTGGGCATGGTTATAATTTGTTAGCATCTTGAAGTATTTTTCTTTTCTTTATTATGCTTGAGTGTACCGTGTCTAGATAGATGTCCTAGCAGTTAATTGACACAACATAAAGGACTGCAAATATTAACATAAGACAAAGCAATATATAAACTAATCCTAGGAATGTAAGTAAGTTGTCAAAGATTGTTAAAATACTGAGTGAATACAATGATAAATAAACCACAGCACATACAACATCCTTTCATAGTTTTTTAATATAGGATAATAACTTGATACAGAAATGATATAAATAATAAGTAACAACTAGAGTGCTCAACTGCACTGCAGGGGTGGGAGTATAACTACAGCTTTTTTCACATAGAGGATGTTTATACTTTATAGACATGTTGTATGGCTGCTGCTAAGCTCCTGAATGGCAAACAACATATTACATTAAAGAGACCCATTTATTATTACACTAAAGATATGTGAAAATTAATATGTGAAATCAGGTGAATATAACAGAAACTGGTATAATAATACAAACTTAATATCTCATATCTAAGCCATCTACTAAAATCTTCAGGGTGCAAAATGTCTCTTAGTGTGTTATTACAGATTCTGACACCAGAATTAAGACCAGTGGTGCCTCTCAGCTCTTTTAAGGACACAGTGTTACTTGCATGTTCACAGTCCAAATGCTCAAGAAAATACAGGCTTTTTATTTTTCCTTATGTGCGTTGTTCTGGATACCATCTCCAGGCAATTGGAAGAAAAGGGTATCAGGAGTAGCCAGCAATGTTCACCAGGGGGAGGTCATGCTTGATCAACCTGGTAGCCTTCTATAATGTCATCATTGGCTGGGTGGATGGGAGGACAGCAGTGGGTGTAGTCTACCTTGATTTCAGAAAGGCATTTGACACTGTCTCCCACAACATCCTTATAAGGAAGCTGAAGAAGTGTGGAATAGATGAGTGGACGGCAAGGTGGGCAACTGTCTGACTGGCCAAGCTCAGAGGGTTGTGATCGGAGGCACAGAGTTCAGGTGGAGCCTGTATTTAGTGGTGTTCCTCAGGGGTTGGTGCTGGGTCCAGTCCTGTTCAACATCTTCATCAATGACCTTGATGAGGGAATAGTGTCTACCCCCAGCAAGTTTTCTGATGATACAAAGCTGGGAGGAATGCCTGACACAGTGGAAAGTTGTGCTGACATTCAGCAAGACCCAGGCAGGCTGGAAAGTTGGACAGGGAGGAACCAGATGAAGTTTAACAAGAGCAAGTTTAGAGTTCTGCACCTGGAGAGGAATAACTGCATGCACCGGTACAGGTTGGGGGATGACCTGTTGGAGAGGAGCTCTGCAGAGAGGGACCTGGGGGTCCTGGTGGACAACAGGTTGGCCACGATGCAGCAGTGTGCCCTGCTGGCCAAGAAGGCCAATGGCATCTGGGTTGCATTGAAAGGAGTGTGGCCAGCAGGTCAAGAGAAGCGATCCTCCCCCTCTACTCTGTCCTAGTGAGGCCTCACCTGGAGTATTATGTCCAGTTCTGGGCTCCCTGGCACAAAAAAAAAGACAGAGATCTCCTGGACAGAGTCCAGTGGAGAGCCACAAAGATGATAGAGGACCTGAAGCACCTCTCTTGTGAGGAAAGGCTGAGTGACCTGAGTCTATTCAGCATTGAGAAAAGAAGATTCAGAGGGGATCTGATCAACATCTATAAATATCTAAGGTGCAGGAGGTAAAGAGACGAGGCCAGACTCTTTTCAGTGGTGCATGATTATAGGACAAGGAGAAACAGCCACAAACCACTGGAAGTTCCATACAAACGTGCATAAGAACGTCTTCATAGTAAGGGTGACAGAGCACTGGAACAGGCTGCCCAGAGGAGTTGTGGAGTCTCCTTCTCTGGAGATGTTTAAGACCCACATGGATGCCTACCTGTGCAACCTGGTCTAGGGACCTTGCTTTGGCAGCGGAATTGGACTAGACGATCTCTAGATGTGCCTTCCAGCCCCTACAGTTCTGTGATTCTGTTTCTGCTCCCATTAACAGTGCTGCTTATGAATCTACCTCATAGATCTTAAATCCTCTGCACCTAAACTACTGAACTGGAGACAAAATTCTTATACAGATAAAATAGACATCCATGTTTCTGTGGCCATTCTAAATTATATTTAAGGGAAAATATGTAAGAAAAAACCTCCTATGGCAAAATAGAAATAAAAGTAAAACAAAGTTGAACAAAATCTTGTGTAACTAAATACACTTCATTGTATCTAGTTCATATTTATTCCATTAAAATATATATATATATATAAATCCAAATGATTTAATTAAATTTTCTCTTGATTTTGGAGAGAAGATGATGAATATAATGATGCATTTTTTTTAGTAAATATATATCATACATGATGTCAAGAGGGCATAAAACTGATCACAACATAACGTATATTGTTGGTTGGGCTTCATTTTATTTTATTTTATTTTAATCTTCAGTGCTCTATTGATACAAAGATCAAAATTTGAGAATATTTAGCTTAGTAATAAAGTATATTCAAGACCACTGTCTCTATCATTAATCTACCCTAAATTCCACTTTCTCCCACACTTAGAAACATCAATATATTTTTATAAATAATGGCCTCTGAAGAATTTATTGCTGTTTTGTCTGTTCTTATTTCTAGACTGGTATATGACACATGCAATCTTAAAACGCAGTAAATTATGAAAAGAATATAGAACTATTTCCTTTATCGGAAAACTGTCTGCATATTGCTTTTTTTCCCCTTTCACTCACAGATACTCTATTGCCAGAAATGATGTCATGCTATTCATATCATATCTCACAATAACACTTTTCTAGAGTAAACCTTAATCTCCTAAATCCAGTGTACAGTGGCTGTCTAAACAGAATAGATCTCTCTCTTTTTTTAATAAAAGCCAGGTGACAAATTAACTGCTTCTGATAAATGAGAACCCCACGGTTCTATGGATCTAATCCTCCCATAGAGAGAAATATTTGACCAAGTATAATGTGTTTCTTATGAGGAAGGTATCTTTCACAAAGGAAACAAAGCATGGAATTTCTGTAACATTCCTTGCATAAATATTCTTATAAATATATTGCATATGGAAATAATAATCAAAAGCCTGCTACTTTCATCACTCTTTTTGGCCCAGGAAACAATAAATAGGTAGAAATTGTGGCCAAATTTTTCAAAGCTCAGTGTCTGAAGGTAGTCCCATAAATTGTACCTATCTGAAAGCAATTTTCAAAGGTACTGAGAATTCACAGTTCTTACTGATTCCCACATGGATACAGGTACTTATTTCTAGACACTCAACTTTGAAATTTTTGGCATGTCGTTCAACTCTGTAACTCCAGGATTTGCCCCAGTAAAAATATACGTGAGATTTATCATTGGTTCTCCTGATATATACTGTCTCTAACAAGCTACTTCTATGATCCCATCAGTATAGCTTTTGAGCACCTCCCAAGATTTAAAAATTAAAAACAATAAATCTTTCTCTTTTATTTCCTGTCTTCCCAGCCTATGGAGTATGATTTGATTCATTTATTTGGCTCTGCTCTGTTGTGTGCTTGAGTGAAAGCTTAGGGAAAACTAAATGAAACCAAACTAAATTAAACTAAACTAAATAAATAAATAAGGAGTCTCTTTCCAAATAACAATTTAGAGATAATCTATCTTTTAAACAAATGATGCTGGAGTGTAGTTCAGGCTATTTTTTCGCATCTGAGAAGCAAAACTCTTACTTTGAACTGCATTTTGCTATGCCAATGCTGTCTTGTGCATGGACTGTTTCTTTTGCAGATACTTTGGGCTAATCCTATTCTCCAGTGTTTCCTGGAGAATAGGCATACCATAAATTAAAATTAAAATATGGAAATTTCATTGTTTTGTTTCAAAAGAGATGAGTCCTGCAGCCATGTTTTCTCAAAGGTGAGCTGCACACATATGTCTTCTCTCTTCGACTGCTTATGTTTATGTCATGTCCACCACTTCCTTGCAGGCCAGCTTCATTTCCCAGCACTCACCTTGTCAGTAGTATTTCCCTGATAGATCTTGAGTTGAAGAAAAGTGGGGATCAGGAATTGCCACAGAGGGTTGAAGGACACAAGGCCTGGAGCTATGTCCAGCAGTAAGGCAGAATTTGATAAATCAGAACTTCCTGCAAATACCTGCTTACTCCATCCTTGGGGAGTTTGTGTCATTCTGGACACTACTCCAGTCTCCTCTTGTCCCTCTTTCCCAAGAGATTTTAGTCTCTACTTTGGAAAAAGACTGCAAATAATCTTAGGCCAGAAATTCTCCCCTCTGAACTGTGTGGTCTGCACAGAGAAGAAAATGATAGTCATGTGGTCCAGGTAGTGCGTTGCTAGGCAGAGCTCACTATTGTTCTTTAAACAAATAGTGGCTTTCTTGGTTTATGAAACTTCATTCTTGGGAATGGAGAATTGCATTAGTCAAATGTGAAAGGGGTGAATTTCTGCACCAGCAGAGACAGGTATATTTTCTGGTAGAAGAGACAACATTCTGGCCCATGCAGAAGTAAACTGCCTTTTTTAGGGATTAAGTTTCTGCCTTACCTGATCTTTCTTTCCCTTCCTTCCTTCCTTCCTTCCTTCCTTCCTTCCTTCCTTCCTTCCTTCCTTCCTTCCTTCCTCCCTCCCTCCCTCCCTCCGTCCCTCCCTCCCTCCGTCCCTCCCTCCCTCTCTCCTTTCCTCCCTTCCTCCCTTCCTCCCTTCCTCCATCCTTTGTTTTCCTTCCTTCCATCCTTTGTTTTCCTTCCTTCCTTGCTTCCTTCCTTGCTTCCTTCCTTCCTTCCTTTCATCCATCCATCCATCCATCCATCCATCCATCCATCCATCCATCCACTCATAATTCTTCCTCTCTCTAACAAAAATACACCTTTGCATTATATATTGGCCATGAGGAAGGTGGAGGTGATATGGCTTCTGTCTACTACAGAGTTGAACTAAGCATGAGGTGCCAAGACATTCATTATTATTTCATTAGTCCATACTGCAGCACAGTGTTTATAGAGATATTGAACAGTACAGAGAATATTAATGTGAGGAATGGGAAGAAAAAATCTTTAGGGGATATATGAAGGTGGATAAATTTTAGCCATAGGTACTACCTGAGAGAAAACAAACCTTTTCAAGTTCTTGTCATTTAGATTTGCTCAGCTCTGACTCTCAGGCAAATATTACTGGAGTACTTAAATGAAACAGAAACAGTTTCTCCTTGTGAATACACTGGAATCTGGTTGTACTTGGAGTAAGAAACTTATACTCTTTAGACTTTAATACCAAACAATAGTAAAGCAGGTTGCATAACTTAGAATTCCACCATATACTTCTTTATTTAGCTATGGTTTACAAAGTTTTCATATCAAAGGGCTGTTATGTATTTTTTTTTCATTAGGCTTAATAAAAATAAATATTAGTGTATTCAATTTGTTCATGAATTGATTTTACCCCAATTTTTAGCAACATGGAAAAAAACAGCAGCAATATTTAACAAAGAATGGTACTGAAAGGCCCTATGGAAAGAAGAGCTAACTCTATTCTGTGTCTTTCTAATAAAGTCAAAGCAAAAAGTAAATAGATGAAAGCAAAAAGAAAAAAATAATAATAAAAAAATAAGGACAGGACATTTTGTTTTAATATTGAGAAATTAAATCTAGGGACTGAACAGTGAAACATTTTGCCCAGAGAAGGTGTATTCTCCCTTCTTGGAGATCTTCAGAAGTAATCTTAATGTGGTTTTGGGTAACTGCAGAGCAATTGGGCCAGATGAAATCCAGAGGTTCTTTCCAACTATAACTATTCTGTGATTCTTTGACTGCACTGCTGCAGTCATTAATCATGGCCACAATGCTGTGTTCACTTACCAACCCATGAGGCTATAAGGATAGATGAGCTTCCTGGAGTTCAAGTTCCCACACCTGATTGCTGAATGTCCTGCTGGTCTGTCCATGCAACAACAGTCATAAGTAGCCAATGGCTTCTCAAATAAACACAAAAATATAGCACTATTTTTCTGATTTTTCCAATATTGCACATGGAGTCAAGAATTAAGTTCAAGTGGCTCAATTTATCTGTTATAAGTTTATCTTCCCTTTATTTACTAGGTATGTAGATTTTTTTTGCTTTGTTTTGTTTTTCTATAAAATCCATGACTACATCTGAAATACACGAGAATATTAACTTTCTTTCAATGGATTTCCTTCAGTTTGTCTGCTATGTAAGGTAAGTATCTGATGCATGCATACTAGAATATTTCATATTCTTCTGTTTTTTTTACTAAAGTGCTTGTACATCGTCTAGTATAAAAACTAGGAGCTATTTTACATTGCTTTCCACAAAGTATTTTTCTTTTCCTATATTTATTGTTTTAGCAGACCAAGAAATTTTAAATATTTTCCTATGCATGGAACTGAGGCCAGGGCTGGGTGATATTTCATCACAATAACAGATCACAAAAAATAATGTTTTTGTCAGTGTTTGCAAATGGCACATTTGAAAGTGATGTCATTATTTATAGGATGTGAATGATGCCTGTATACAATGATCTCAGATCTAGAGTATAAATTAAAATGATATGATGTGATTTTCTCAGATGTGATGCCCTAGACTTCAGGAAGAAGAAACAAGGCTCATGCCTTCACACTGAAATACTTTAAAACAGAACTGTGGACAGCTGAGATGCCAACATAAAAACTTTTCCATTTTACACTTACTTAGACATTTTCTTGGGACACATATTATCATAAGACATTTTGAAAATCTTAATGGTCTAACTGGCAAAGACTCCACAGTACATTATTCCTGTATCCTCAAACACCTATATAACTTCAACAAACTAGAGGAGACTATTAGAGTAAATATTTTACTAAAAATGTTCTAAGCTAAATAGTTGGTTGTGCACTATTCTTTCTATTTATGGCTTCCCAGTGAACATTACAAATGTGCTGAAGATATTTTAACAGATGGATCCTAAGAAAGTTCTGTTCCAAATTTACATTAGCATACTTGTGTTGCTAACAGCAGAGAAGGAATTTCATGAAAATAATTTTTTGTGTGATTTCTTTAAACAAACTTGTCATGTGGAAGAGACTTGTCAGTTCTCATAAGTTTAATTCATTTTTCATTATAATTATTAGTTGCTTAGTATGGCTGCTCTTAAAATGGAGGGAAACACAATAATCTTACTTTTCACTAATAAGGAAGAAGAGAGATTTTTCTCTCCTTCCTAATAAGAAGCAGTTATTAAAAGGTCAAAAAAGCAGACAGAAAAAAAAACAAAAACCCTATACCTTGAAAATCTCCTTTTAAATGTTTGGTTTGTTAATAAAAAGATTTCCAAATTGTGGAAACCTAAGAGAGCTTCATAATTATAGAGACAATATTAATGTCAAAGATAGCTAGAGATTGGCAATATTGGACAAAGCGGCTTCATGTCATTAGAGAACCTGAATATATGCTAAGCAGAAGAGACCATATGAGGTCTACAATAAGAGTAATGATTGTCTTGCTTGTAAACTTATTTTTTTTTCTAATTGCAGAGCTATCCTGTATCTATCACATGGATGTTTTGTGGATCTGACTAGGAAAAAAAAACAACACAGTGAAAACAGAAAGATAAACTAACCACAACCAACGCTAAAGACAAGAAACTTCTAATTGCAAGAGGGAAAGAATGTAATCAGCAATCTGTTTTTAAGAAGTTTTAATGACCAGCAGGTGGGAAGGATGATTCCCTTATTCAGTGAATCTCCATGCAATATATGTTTAAGACAAGCTTTTGCTGGATACCTAGTGCATTTCCTAAACACAGACATCCCTGACTGCTTCTTAAAGTAGGTGTCTAAAATAAGTTAGACAAATTAGTCCCTAAAAGCATCTATTTCTCTCCTCTGTCATCACCATGAGCCCAGGAGGAGTGTCTGTGGAGTATAATGTAAATGCCTCTAGTCTACTGGACAATTCCTGTCCCAGGTAGCAGAAGTCTGTGTGCCAAAACAAGCCTAGGCAGGCTACTGTATCCTGTTTCTCAATGATTATGCTTCTGGTATTTCAGTTAGCGCTGTTAAAGCTGAGCTGGTCTGCAGTGACTGTTTACATCATGGATTGTCTTTATCATTTCTGTGAATAACAAAGTAGAGAAACAGCCCCAGCCCACCAGAAATTGGTATAAAGTTTTCAAACAGGATATGCCATCTAAATTCCTAAGAAGATAGGATTTGAGTGGTTTCTTATGCAGCTCGACACTGTGGAAAGCCAGGTTGTTTTTAATGAGATGCCAATATTTTGAACTAGCTGTTTCACATCAAACACCTGTCATTTCCTTGTTGGCCATAGTTCTTTCAAAGCTGATTGTAGGATAGGGCTGGAGAGTAAGTTTCTTGCCATTTTAGATGGCTGTTTACATAGAATAACTGAGGAATGTACGTATGGCCTCTATTTTATAGCACAAACCTTTGATTCATTTTGACAATCTTAGTAATCTCTTTATGATCTCCTTTTTTCTTTTTTCCCCCCTTATATGACTGATCATCTTGTCACTTGTTTTGATCAAAAGCCTGAAAGGTATGTTCTTTATTTGGTCTGGGTGGCTTGGTTTCCTTCTCTAGGCCTGGGAAAAAAAGAAGAAAAAACCTACCAGTGCAAGGGCCTGACAGATGGTTACAGTTTCCTGACAAATTATTTATTTGAATTCTCAAACATTCAGCTTTTACTTATGACTTTTTCACTTAAGCTTTAGGAGTCAATTTATCAACGAGAATGATCACATATTGACTGTACCCATATTGAAAAGTAAATGTATTCATTTGTTCTTTATACATAAATGAGTTAGTGACAAGTGAACTGATTCAGACAAAACACCCAAACCAAGGCTTCAGTCCAACATTTGAACTATCACAAAAATCTTGTATATGTCCTTTCTTCCTAGGTTTTTCTAAACCTTGGTTGTTGGCCCCTACTTGGTACCACATATCTGAATCTGGATCTCTAACGTTTTCCTTTCAGAAAACTGATAAAAAAATCTTTGAAACTACAGAGTTGTTTTTTAAAAATATTTATGCACATCTAGAAGGACCCACTGTTATACATCTCTCTCTCTCTCTCTCTCTGGAATTTAAAGCAAGAAAGCTGTTTTAAGATATAATGCTTTTTCATTAAATGAGAAAGTTTGAAAATAAGATTTGAGGAAAAAAATCTATTGAACATGCTGAAAAATCCATGGACTTTTATTTTTGATGAAAAGGATTGGCTTTTCACACACAATGTCAGAGATTTAAACTGTTGAAACTAGATGGAATAGGTTGAAATCTTCTGTTCCTTCCTTTCTCCCTCACTCTGTTGAATGATATCTGTTCAGCAGGCAGGTCAGACTATCTTAACTCCTTTCTCTGGTGCTCATAAGAAATGAATATCTCAGTCAAAGTCTTGGCTAAAAATCGTGAAAAGCTCCATTCCAGAGTAGCTACCGAATAAGCTGTTGTTGATGCTGGAGTTTAACGTAACAAACTCTCTGTTTCTCAGTATGAATATTTCTTTTACAGGTAAAAATATATCTTTGCAATTTCAACCTCTTCAGAATGGACCTTTTCTCTACATAATGCAGCCCAAGGTTTATGAAAATGTTTTTAAAAATTGGTCCTTCAGAAGAAAATTTCTGTTACATAGTGAAGGCCCTAATAGTGAAAATAAAAGGCTTGCAACAAACACCAGATTCTGTTGGACTGTTAACAAGAATATTGTCTATTGATTGGAGTAACCAGCATTTCTAGCTGCGGAATCAATATTTAGAACATGATAAATGGGTATGAAACTAAGAAAACACACCAATCAGCCCTGCATCTGAAGGCTTTCTCTAATGGAAAAAAATAACTAAGTGATGTAAACAGAAAGGGCAAACTAAGTGACAACCTGCAAGACCACCCATCTGGGCTCGGCAGCTTGTTTCAGGGTTATCTGACTGCTTCCTTTGTGTGGGTTCACACAGTGACTATTGCTCCAAGTTCTGTTGACAGTGACCACAGATTAATTAGATCAGTGCTTTTTTAAAATGTAAACATTCCCAAGTTAGAAGACAAGTCTTGTGTTTAGTTCTCAGTGTGCTTGCTTGAAAACCCCATGTCCTCATATATTATTTAGCTGATGAATTTCTATGCTTCAGTTTTTTTTGGAACTTCCAGCACCAGAATATAAGCAATATATTATGAAGTTTTTGCAATCACAGCTATTTTCACTATGCTTCTATAGTAAGCTTTTAGAAAATTGCTTGAAAATCTTTTACAGGTCGTTGGTTTTTTTTTGTTTTGTTTTCTTTCCTTTCCTTTTTTAAATATATATATATTTTGGAGGGGGGG